AAAAAAAAAAAAAGCTTTGGTTTATGTTCATTAAGTTCTTGCTGAGAGGTCTTAATGTATCCTCAAGTAGATTTATCTATGTTTTGCCTGTAGTCTGCCAAACAATAGCAACATTGATTTCAAATCTGTTCTTCAGATTTGAAAAATAGCAAGATGTAGAGATAGTTCTTACACTTCAAAATATGCTTTCTAAAAATCATATTACTCATAATGAATAATTTTGTTAAATTCATAAATTTCTTAAATGCTTTACTTTTTATAATGTTCTGAATTTTGTCCCATTAATGGAAATAATAGGTATATATTAGCAGAAATTTATGTGTATAATAATAGAGGCATATAGATAAATGAAGCTTCTTGTAATAGTCCTTTAGACTATATGGCATTCTACAGAGAATTGACTATTTCAGGAACTGTGTGATTTTTTTTTAAGATTTTATTTCTTTGAGAGGAGAGAGAGAGCACGAGAAGGGGGAGGGGCAGAGGCAGAGGGAGAAACAGGCTCCTGCTGAGCAAGGAGCCTAATGCAGGACTCAATCCCAGGACCCTGGGATCATGACCTGAGCCAAAGGCAGACGCTTAACCAACTAAACCACCCAGGCACCCCAAGGAACTGTGTGATTTTTACTGTATGTATTTTTGTTTTCTATCCTTCTGTTTCATTAATTAATAGCTGATAAATTGGTAGGTCTAATAGCATTTCTAATTCTGCTTTGATGAGGTTAGGGGACTTGAAATGAAAACTCACATTTTTGATACTTGAAATATATTTGCATTTTTAAAAAATTTTAACTCTGAAAGTATTACATTCTTATCTAGGAAGTTAAATATTTATGTATATATAAGTATATGTCATTTATATGCATGTGTATATAAGCATAAAAGTATAAAGAAGCAAGTGAAAACTTGGTTACATTTTGATCTTTTCCTTTTAATGCCGGTCTGTCTTGTACAGAGGTTTGCTAGAATATAGTAATAAAAATTAAATCTGTGAAAGTGTCTTTAAAAAGTATACTTTTTTGTTTCTTTTGGACAGGTGACTCATTTTTCTATTGTTCTGACCGCCAAAGATTTTAACCCAGAGAAATATGCCGCCTTCACTAGGATATTGTGTAGGTCTGTATGAAAACTGTATTAAATGCTATCATACAAAAATGAAGATCTTATCCAATAGTTACATAGCAGATTTCTACACCAAGGAAGCAAATTTCAGCCCTCTGCCTCCCCACCTTAATCTTTACTTGCCCTCCAGAAACTGTTTTGTAAAGAGGAACTTTCTCTTCTGCTTTGATGACACTTCTCCTCTTATTTGGGAAAATGGTGGAAGGGAGGAGAAAAAGCAGTTTACACAACTATTGCAGTTTCTGGGGATTTTGAGTCACTTGCCACTTTTGGTCTGCTGCTTCTACTCACTTCCAATTTAGAACTTTCCTTAGCAGGATGGATAAGTTTAAAAGTGCTGGTGAAGTGATAAGCTGGTTCATAGGTGTCAAAGTCTGTGTGTGGGAGTCATTTTGGGGAAAATTAACAGGCATTTTGAATTATGCTAAAGCACAGGAAAATATTTCTTAGCTGGAATGCTGAGAAGCTGAGAATCTGATGAATTGGTTAATTGTGATTCGGGTAAACTTTAGTTTCATTCCAGCTATTGAAAAAATTATGTAAAATATACCAATCTGCTTTCTTGCCTTGGTAAGTATAAGCAGTAGAGTTAATGAAATCTTTCTTATATGTTACGGACATTGGTTTTTCCTTAATCAGGGCTTTGAGAGGTTTTGTTTTTTTTAATATTGTTCTCACTAGATAGACTTGTAATTCTAATGTTACGTATTACAACCTCAGCCCTCAGGCTTATGCCCAATAAGTAGTTTTGGGGTGGGGGGTAAAGGGGGTTGTTTTTGTTTTTCTCACTATAAGCCTGATAAATGGTTGCTTTTTTTTTGTTTTTTTTTTGCCATTTTTGTGTATGAACATTCATATATACATATCTATAGCGGAAGTCTACTTTCTCATTACTTAAGGGTTTCAGGTAGGTTATATTTTGACAAAATGAAGTTTTACTGGTTTTGCAGCCAGCTATGATAAGAGAGGCTTCTTGCTCTCATAAGTTCCAGGTATATAGTGCACTGTGGGACACAAACAGTTGTCTGCTACTGTCGCACTGACACAAAAGGAGATTATTATCGTTAAGAAGAGACACCGTCTAGAAGCCATGAGCTAAAAACACCGCAAAGTTGTTTTTGAACAAACACGGGACTCTCATTTCATTGGATTGGGTCAAGGTTAGGTTACCCAATGAATTCACTGGGAAATATCCGGGGGCCCAGACTGTAAGGTTGCTTTAGACCCCACTTCCTGCCCAAGAGGAAGCCCGAGGGGTTCCTCACCTTCTGTAGCGCCGTGGCATTGTTGCATTCTGGACGCTTCTCCTGTCACAGTTTAGGAGAAATGAGGACTCAAAGCTATTGGCAGCCACCTCCTCTGCCCCCCACCCCTTACTGCACTTGCCCTCGCCTGTGTTCATACCCACACACTCCTGCACGCACACATGCACACACACGTACACACACATGCACACACACTTACCTCACTAACGTGACTGTGTGCACAGGCGCATAGACCAACACTTTTCAGTGATGCTGAGGTTACCATGGAGGGGCTCCCTTCCATCTCTGGGGAGAGGAGCGGGCAGCATGCCTTCTACAGTTTGCTGCTCGCAGTGGCCGTGGGAAGCCCACATGAAGGGGTTCATTCCCTGTGTGGGGTCCAGGTCATTTGCCATGACCCCCTTCATCTTCTCGTCCCTCCAGCTGGTGGCCGTGGCAGAGAACCTGGGTTGCCTGCACACGGAGTCAGTTGTCCGTGCCTGGTGTGGCAGCCTGCGGCCGGCCCATCTGAATAAGCTCCCCTCAGTTGCACTTTGTGGTTTTCCTACAGAATGATTTTGGGGGAATTCCTCCCTCTGTTCAGTATTTCATGGCCCAGGTTGTCAGGGAAAAAGTAGTCTTACCCTATTACTCTTCCTATGTTTCTCTTCTCCATTACTGCATATGGTTATCTATTTCACAGTTTTAATGGTGTGTTGTTTGTTTGGTGGTTGTAATGTAAGCACGTAGTAAAAAATTACAAACAATACAGAAAGGTATACAATGAAAACTAAGTCCCTTCTTTCCCCTATTCCCAACCTCCAAACGGAGACATTTTCTCCATATAGAAACGTGTGTATGAGTTCATGGGTTTGATTATCTTATATGTATATGATAGCTTACCATATTCATTGTTCTCTACCTTTTTTTTCTCAATTTCTCAAAATACACAATGATTGACAAAATTTGGTTAGTAGTTAAAACACTTGCTTTTCTTCACTTAATGTACAATAACTATGATTTTCAGTTTGATCTGTTTTAAACCATGATTTTATTTTCTTTCCAGTTTTCTATCCCTTTAGCTACTAAAAGACCCAAGTAGGCCCAGTCCTGCTTCTCAGGCACAATTTAGATTTAGTTATTCACAGGAAGAGATTTTAGGGGAACTGATTTTAGGGACTGATTTCACATATGAGCTATAAATGCAGCCAGTTTCCTGTCAGCATTTTCTGGAACTTGATGATGAATATATCTAGAGTGCATTTATCACCAGAAACTTAAAAGAGTTTGGTTTCTTAATTATCTAAATATAGCTACCTCTGGTAACTCTGATAATAAATATAGGTTCTATAATTAGTGCTTTCTCTGTGAACAACGCAAAACTCCTTCCTTGTCAAAGGAAGTCCCAGCAATAAGATAGAGTTGTTTCGACTAGAAACTATTTGTGAACGTAAGATATACAGAGAGATAAGTATGCCATATTTTTAAGAATAATGGGGCCTCAGAGAGTCCACAGCTCATTCTCCTGCCTGAGTGGACGATAGCAGACTTCCCCAGATGTAACGAGAAAGCCACCTTCCAGGAATTGTTGAAGGTCTCTCGAGTGGTTATTTTTTTGATACACTTTCAAATTAAATTCTAGAAGTAGTCATATCATGAAAAGATTCAGGCATTCAGAAGTGTATTAGAAAGTTGACTTAGATTTTGTAGTAAGGACCCATACGTAGCCTTGGTTTGCATTGCTCCGTGTGGTTCATGCTGAATAAAAGCTTGGTTGCTTTTTGTCTTTTCTTACAGAATGTACCTGAAACATGGGAGCCCAGTTAAAATGATGGAGAGTTACATTGCAGTTCTCACAAAGGGGATATGCCAGAGTGAAGAAAATGGCTCTTTCCTTAGTAAGGATTTTGATGCCCGAAAGGCCTATCTTGCAGGCTCCATCAAAGGTAAAAAAAAAAAAAAAAAGGCACAGAACAAAAACCCATCCCAGATAGTTCCATCCCAATAACAGTAATATCCCCAAGCCAGGGCAATCCTCATTAGACTGATATTCCATCTTCCTGTATACTTTCATCTATGTAATATTTATTTGTTAAACAGGAGGGTAATTCAGCTTCTACATTGCCTTATTTGATTAGAATTCTATTTAGGAAAGCAGGTTTTTTTGGTGGTCCTTTCCATAGGATTCTGACAGTTAATATAGAAATGTTCTTTCACAGGTAAGCTGAATCTCACGGCTTGAGTCTCCACTGACTTCCACAGTTTTTCTTTCCTTACATTTTAGTAGTTACTTCTTCCATGTGGAGAGCTCCAGCCCCTGACCCAGCGTTCTTAACTCCCCACCTTTCTCTCCTAGCTGGAACATCCCAAATGGCAGTACAGGGCCGAGCCACAGACTTCAAGGTCCTTAAAAGGGAGGAGAGGGGAGCTCGGAGGGTCATGCTAGCTGTCATTCTCGTCCTCCCACAATGCTGTGTTTGCTCTTGATCCTACTGTTTTATACCGTTTCGAAGCATCCCTGTTGGAGTGTTAGGTTTGTCCAGCTATCTCAAAAGGACCTAAGTCATGACGTGTGTATGTGTGTGGGGTGGGGGAGGGTGTCGGTGAACTTTTTTTTAAAACGTAAGGATTTTTCATGACAGAAAGATGCTGGTTCCCTTCCTGTCATTTATTCTACTTTCCTGTGGCTCTGGCTTCATCTCTGCATCCAGCACAGAATCCCTTGGGGGGCAGGTTGAGGCTGCTATAGCATCCATCCTAGGGAGCAGATAGGGATTTCTATGCCCATCAAGGGCATGAGGTACTTCTTTTCTTTGTTCTCTGTATTGAAAATATTTCTGTATTCTGTATATAGAAAAGAATCTCTGGAAATACAAAAAATCCTTTCTAATAACAATGTTATTATTTAATGCAGTAATATTTTAATTTCTTGTGTTTTAAGATATTGTATCTCAGTTTGGAATGGAAACTGTTATCTTACACACAGCGCTGATGCTAAAGAAAAGAATTGTTGTCTATCACCCCAAAATAGAAGCTGTCCAGGAGTTCACCAGGTATTGTCTCTGGTCATTAAAAAGTGGAGGCTTTGTTGGCAGCCATTATGGGTCAATCTGTGTTCCTTTGTGCTCTGTTCTGTTGCACATTTGGTATAAATAGAATGTGTTAGGCTGTGGGTGAAATGCCATTTTGGTCTAATGTGTCAGGTGAGATTTAGTAGTTCGAGGCCACTGAATTTAGGCAGATTCTTCTTTAAATTTAGAAGTATGAATACTTTAGAGCAGGGAGTTTAACCGTTTCCTTGCCAGACAGTAAATATTTTAGGCTTGTAGGCCATAGGTTCTCTGTCCCAACCACCCAAGTGCATATGTAAATGAATGAGCACGTCTGTGTTCTGGTTACAACACAAACAGCCAATCCATGGTCACAGTTTCCTGACCCCTGTTTTAAATCATTCATTCATTTTTTCCACTTTTACCACAGACTCTTTCTTCTTTTTCTTTTTCTTTTTTTTTTAAGATTTATTTATTTGAGAGAAAGAGAGCACATATGCGCAGGTGGGAGGAAGAGGGACAAGCAGACTCCACACTGAGCGTGGAGCCCACTATGGGACTCAATCCCAGGACCCTGGGATCGTGACCTGAGCAGAAGGCAGATGCTTAACCGACTGAGCTACCCAGGCGCCCCTAAAACATTGCATTACTTTAACTTGAAGCCTGGAGGTTTTGGCACGTTTAGCTTTCGTTCTCCCCTCTGTTTCTGATAGCCAGTTTCCTCCTGGGGAAGAAGAGGAAGGAGGGTGGGCTGAGTCAGGTGCGGGCCGGCAACCATTTGAGTTCTTGCCTTAATTCCCTAGGACTCTGCCTGCCCTGGTGTGGCATCGACAGGACTGGACCATACTTCATTCCTATGTGCACCTGGATGCCGATGAGCTGGAAGCCCTGCAGATGTGCCCAGGTAGGTGACAGCATCTCAGGGGACGAGAGCCTTGGCTTTATCCAGGGTTGTTGTTGGTTTGGGGGAGTATTTTTGCATTCCTAAAGGGAATAATGATTTATTATTTCTTTGGTAAATGCAACCAGTTCTTTTTCCTTAAAAGAATTATTTTTAATTTTTAAAAATATTGCAGTAAAATATCCATAGTACAAAATTTACCATCATAATCATCTTTAAGTATATAATTCAGAGGCACTAAGTACATTTCACTTTGTTGTACAACCATCACCAAAATACGATTTATTTTTAATTTGTAAAGTTTCCCTGTCAGTGATTTGACTTAGACTTTATTTTGAGCCTTTGCATATTTTTTCTCAAAGGAAAAATAAAATTATTTTTTAATGACGTTATTGTACTTGTATAAAAATTTTTAATGGTAAGATTCTGAGAATAGGGCACCTGGGTGTCTTAGTCGGTTAAGCGGCTGCCTTCGGCTCAGGTCATGATCCCAGGGTCCTGGGATCGAGTCCCACATCGGGCTCCTTGCTCAGCAGAGAGCCTGCTTCTCCCCTGCCTGCCGTTCCCCCTGCCCGCTGCTTGTGTTTGCTCTCTGTCTCCCTCTCTTGCTCTCTCTCTGTCAAATAAATAAAATCTTCAAACAAACAAAAAAAAGATTCTGAGAATAAAAACAGTATTATTTATATCTGTAGGAATTCTAATATTGTGGTGACATAGTCTTTTGTTTTTGTTTCTTTAAATTTAAGGTTATTATGCCCTTTATACTTTTATGGTCTTAAAAGATTCTTTCATAAAGTGATAACGATAATGATAGATGATAGGGGCTTTTGTTGTTGCTTTTTCAATTATGAAAAATTTCTTACATATAAACCAAAATGCAATATTTATGCAGGTTATAAAAAAATTAAAAGAACACTCACAGACTCACCAGAGATGAAAAAGTAGAATACTATCTGTACTTTGAAGCATCTCATGTGCCTTCCCATCTCATTCCTCACTCCCTTCCTCTAGCCCCGTACATAGAAACACATATCTCTAAATAATATATTGTTTAGTTTTACTAAACTAACTTTATATATGTGGATTCATGATATATGAATTCTTCTGTGGCCTATGTTTTGGTTTTTGTTTTATTTTTGCTTAACAATATTTTTGTAGGATTTTGTATTTTCATGTGGCTATTTGTAGTCTCGTTCATTTTTGCTGCTGTATAGGATCCCATTAAGTGATATACCATAGTTTATTCACTCGGAC